ACAAAAATGAGAGCATCACCAGCAGAGTAGACAACTTAGAAGATAGGACATCAATGAAGACAAAGTATATCATCTTGAAAAGAATGTAGACAGCATAGCAAAAATGATAAGAAACCACAAGCAGAACATCTAAGAAATATGAGATAGCATAAAAAGACCAAATTTAAGAGTTATGGGGATAGAGGAAGGCATAGAGGTCCAAACCAAAGGAATGAGCAATCTGTTCAATGAAATAATATCAGAAAACTTTCCAGACATGAAGAATGAAATGGAAATCCAAATACAAGAAGCCTACAGGATGCAAAATGTGCAAAATCACAACAGATCCACACTAAGACAAATTATAATGAAAATGCCCAACATACAGAATAAGGAGAGAATTTTAAAAGCCACAAGAGAAAGGATCCAGATTACACATAAGGGTAAACCAATTAGGATAATGGCAGATTTTTCAACACAGACCCTGAAAGCTAGAAGATCTTGGAACAACATATTTCAAACTCTGAAAGATAATGGGTTCCAATCAAGAATCTTGTATCCAGCAAAACTAAGCTTCAGATTTGTAGATGAAATAAAAACTTTCCACAATAAAAAAAAAAAAAAAGTTAAACAATTTAGAGCTAGAAAACCAGCACTAAAAAACATCCTTGGCAAAATATTTCATGAAGAGGAAACGAAAAATAATAATGAAAACCAGCAGAGGGAGGTAGTGCACTAAAAGAAAAACTAATCAAAGAGAAAAACCAAGTCAAGTTAAATGACAAAAATAAACAAATATGACTGGAAATACAAACCATGTCTCAATAGTAGCCCTAAATGTTAATGGCTTAAACTCACCAATCAAAAGACATAGGCTAGCATATTGGATTAAAAAACAACAACAACAATATGCTGCCTACAGAAGACTCATTTGATAGGAAAAGACATACACAGTCTGAAGGTGAAAGGTTGGGAAAAATCATACCACTCACATGGACGGTGGAAACAAGGAGGGGTCTCTGTACTCATATCAAATAAAGTAGACCTCAAGCCAAAGTTAATCAAAAGGGATAAAGATGGACATTACATACTGCTCAAAGGAACGGTATGTAATGTTATTCCAATAAGACATAACAATCATAAATATATATTCCCCAAACAATGGTGCAGCTATATTCATCAAACAAACTCTTCTCAAATTCAAGAGTCAAATTGAACACAACACAATAATCTTGGGTGACGTTACCACACCTCTCTCACCACTGGAAAGATCTTCCAAAGAAAAGTTGAATAAAAAAACTATAGAATTCAATAACACAATAACTTAGACTTAACTGTCATATATAGAATATATCAATCAACATCAAGCAGATACACTTTCTTCTCAGCATCACATGGATCCTTCTCAAAAACAGACCATATACTATGCCACAGGGCAACTCTTAGCAAATACAAAGGAGTAGAGATACTACCATGCATTTTATCAGATCATAATGGAATGAAATTGGAAATCAACAACAAAATAGGATAAAAAATTCTGCATCAAATGGAGACTGAACAGTATACTAGAGAATGAACAATGGGTTACAGAAGACATCAAGGAGGAGATAAAAAATTCTTAGAGGTAAATGAGAGCACTACTTTATATACAGAGATATGAAAAATTGTGCTCTATATGTGTAATAAGGATTGTAATGCATTCCACTATTGTTGTGTATTTTTTAAAATAATAAAATCAATCAAAAACAGATTACATCAATCAATGCCAATATCAAAAAAATAGAAAGCTCTCAAATTAAACAACCTATCATTGTGCCTCAAGCAAGGAATCAAAACATACTGTGAGAGAAAAATCACTTAACCATGAAGGAACACAATAAAAGTGGAAGAAATGAACTACAACATTAGAAAACATTAGAAAATTAAAACATTAGAAAAACAAGTAACAAATGAGAATAGCAAGATGTTCTCTGTTCAGAAGTAGAAATACAAGAATAAACCAAACCCAAATTTAGTAGAATAAAAATAAAGAGCAGAACAGAAATAGAGATAAAAATCATACAAATTACATGAAATCAAGTTTATTTTTTAAAAAACTAAGAACAATTAACAAAATCTCAGCTACACCGAGAAAGTCATAATTGACAATGTAACTGAAAAGAATGTAGCAAACAGGTTAGACCATAAGATTTCAGAACTCAGAAATCACCATAGAATATTAAACTTTAGAAGACCTAAATGTGATTATAATGAATAAGACTGAAGGGATAAGAAAGGAAGCATGACAGTAGATTTTACTCTGACATATTATACATACATAGAATAAGTATGACTTGTTCCAGTTAGGATCTCATTGTTGTGCTTGCACACGATGTGGAGTGACATTGGTCATGGATTCATATTTAAGGATAGGAAGGATAGGTGCTATTCATTCTACTGTCTTTCCTTTGCCCTCTCCACTCCCTTACCTAATTCCCTTTGTCTAGTCCAACGAACTTCTAATCTTCGCCTCCCTTGTGGACTAGCGTCCACATATCAGAGAGAACAGTCTACCTTTGGTTTCTTAGTACTTGTTTATTTCACTTAGCATGATATTCTCCAGTTCCAGCCATTTACTAGCAAATGCCATAAATTCATTCTTCTCTATGGATGAGTAATATTCCATTGGGTACATATACCACATTTTCTTTATCTATCCACCTGTTCAAGGAACCCAGGCTGGTTCCACAGCTTAGCTAATGTGGACTATACTGCTATAAACATTGAAATGGCTGTGTCACTGTAGTATGCTGATTTTAAATCTTTTGGGTATATTCCAAGAAGTGGGATAACTGGATCAAATGGTGGTTCCATTACAAGCTTTCTGAGGAATCTCCATACAGCTTTCCAGAGTCACTGCACCAATTTGCAGTCCCACCAGCAATGTATAAGTGAAACTTTTCCTCCCACATCTTCACCAACATTTATTCTTGCTTGTATTCTTTTTTTTTTTTTTTTAAATTTTTTTTTTAATTTTTTAAATATTTATTTTTCAGCTTTGGGCGGACACAACATCTTTGTTTGTATGTGGTGCTGAGGATCGAACCCGGGCCGCACGCATGCCAGGCGAGCGCGCTACCGCTTGAGCCACATCCCCAGCCCCCTTGCTTGTATTCTTGATAGTTGCCCTTCTGACTGGGGTGAGATGGAATCTCCATGTAGTTTTGATTTGCATTTCTCTAATTGCTAAAGATGTTGAACATTTTTTCCTATATTTTTTGACCATTTGTATTTCTTCTATGAAGTGCCTGTTCAGTTCCTTAGCCCATTTGTTGATTGGGTTGTTTTTATTTATTTATTTATTTATTATTTATTTATTTATTTATGTTGGTGTTGAGTTTTTTGAGTTCTTTGTATATCCTAGAGATTAATGTTCTAAGATGCGGTTGGGAAAGATTTTCCCCCATTCTGTAGGCACTCTGTTCACATTCTTGATTATTTCCTTTGCTGTGAAGAAGCTTTTTAGTTTGATACCATCCCATAAATGCATACTAAATTTACTTGGAAATATTCTTTACTTATCTTCAAAGATAAATAAAGAATAAAATAAAGATAAATATCTTTATTTATCTTCAAAGATAAAAAGAGGTATTTATGTATAAGTGACATAGAGAAATATTACCAAGAAAGTTTTAGCAATTTTTAGAATCAAAAACACACATAGTCAAGTAATATATAACTTTACCTCAGCCCCATAAAATATTTTTTAAAGCACAACTTTAAAATTAATAATTTAATTAAATTTTAAATTAATAATGAGATTAATTAAATGGTATTTCAATGTTACAAATATTATGCTTAAACTATAAAAGTATTCAAATCAACAAAAAGGAAGCAGAAAAAAAGAAGACATGGAAAGTAGACAGAAAGTTTCAGTTATTGCAAATATCAGACAACTCCAACAAAAATAAAATTTCCAAGAAGAAGAAGATCACATTGGAAGGCAAGAGGTATGTACTTGAAAGAAGTTAGTCATGGGCGGGGAGAATGAGTGAAAATATTAGTACAGGCATAGAGAGTTTAAAAAAAATACTAGCAAGCAATGGAAGCATACTTTGAAGAACATTCAACACAGAAACAACAAAAGACAAAGCCTTAAAACAGACAAACCTGGGAAGTTACCCTGTTCCCTCTACACTCACCCCTTGACACGATCATTTTGTGGAGAGTTGGCATGGGCACAGAACAATCAACTCATTCAAATATGAGTAACATCAAAATAGATCAAAGACCTAGGAATCAAACCCAAAATTTTACAACTGCTAGAAGAAAACATAGGATCAACACTCCAACACATAGGCACACACAGGCAATGCCTTCTGTCATATGACAGAAAACAAAAGTGTACCTCTATTTTGTACTTTCAAAAAATAGCTGAATTTGGATTAAAGACTTAAATTATAAACTTCAATATTATTAATTCTAAAAAAATAGCAGACTAAAATCTAGAACATGGAGAGAGCTTTTCCATCATACAGAAAACCCAAATTTAAAAAATAAAATATTAGCAATGTTAACCATATGAAATGTAAAAGTAATACTGGAGCAAAATTATTATAGATATACAAAATTATCTGTCATGCTCATAAACAAAAGTTTGATATCTAAACATTCAAAACATCCTCACAAATTATAAAGAAACACTCAAATGGCATGAAAAGGCAATTACAAAAGAACAGAGGCAAGTGATCAAGAAGCACATGAAAGATGTTGAAATCCACTAGTCATCAGAAAAAAAGGAAACTAAGATGTTATGTAATGGCATTACTTTATGTTCTTCAGATGACCAAAAATTAAAGGAGTAACAACATTTATTGCCGACTGATACATGAGGGAAAGATGAATCTTATGCATGCAAAAGGAAATGTTAAAGTGCCAACTTTAAAATAATTTTAAAATAATGCAAAAAATTTATTAGAAAAAAATATTTGTAACCTATTTTTCCAAGTTTTGATCAAGTTTATATCAAGATATAAACTTACAACTCCCATCTCTTAATGTAGTGGCTGTTTGGGCACTGGAGTTACAAACTAAGTTCAAAACCTAGATATACCCACTGGGTGAGAGTCCTGAGATAGCTTAACCTCTTTAAATCTTATCTTAATTTGATATGCTCAGAAATAAATGCTAGTAATCTTTTTTGCTGCTTGACAAACAGAAAGAGATCACATAATGAATAATGAAAGTCTGAGTAGTCAGAAATGAATACCAAGTCCCTCAGTTAAGCTACATCACAATCACAGATATTCCTTTTCTTTCTAGGAATACTGAAACATCATCCTTACATGAATAGATATACAGCATCATGAGGCCTTAAGGTAAGATAAGACCGCATCCATTCTAAAAATCTACGCAATAATTCATCTGCTTTGCCAACTGTAGAAATCTTATTTTTATCTGACCACAACTCCAATGATGTCAGCACAATAGTAACTTTCAATTGAGTAAATGCCTAAAGCAGAAGAAATAAATATATGAAAATTAATCTTTATGTTAATTTATAACAAGAAATTATTTCAATATTTTTACAAATCCATACTCAATTTAAATGGATGATTTAATTACCCAGAAATACATCAAGTTAACATGAATGAAAAAAAATTTTTTAAATATTTTTTTAGTTGTAGATGAACACAATACCTTTATTTTAATTATTTTTATGTGGTTCTGAGGATCGAACCCAGTGCCTCACACATGCTAGGCAAGTACTCTACTACTGACTGAGCCACAATCCCAGCCCCCATGAATGAAAATTTCAAGACAAAAAAATTATTTGATACAAAAATAAAAATACTTACCGAATTTACAAGGCTGATAATTTCAAAGATTTTATTTGTTACTATCGTGCTATCAGAGCCCAAGTAATCATACTGAAAGATAGAATTAATTTTATATTTAAAAACAATTCATTATATAATGTTTTTGAGATTTACTCTCCTTCTACTAACAGAAAGCTGAGGCAGATTTGGGGCTCCAATTTCAAAATAAGACATAAACATAAACGGGATCAATCATATTGTTGATAGGAATGTAAAATGGTACAGCCATTCTGAAAAATAGTTTGGCAAGTTCTTTCAAAACAAATAATGGACTTACTATATAACTCATCAATTACATTCCTGGGCATTCATCCCAAAGAAAAGAAACCCAATGCTCACATTTATACCTATATGTGAATGTCCCTAACTGCTTTATTCATAATAGCCAAAAACTGAAAATAATGAGTATGTTCTTCACTGCTCAAATGGTTAAACAAAGTAGTATAAACAAAGTAGTACTTTCATTCCATGAACTATTACTCAGCAATAAAAAGAAAACTGAACTGTTGATATATAAGACAACTTAGATAAACCTAAAGAAAATTATGCTGAATTAAATCTCAATAAAAAACAAACTGTATGATAACTTTATGCAATTTGTGAAATTGTAAAGAACAACAGCTTAGTGTTTGCCAAGGGTTAAGGAGAGACAGAAGGTATGAGTGTGTCTGTAAAGATTCTTATGATGATATTATTGTGAGTATCTTGAGTGTGGTAGTGGTTTGCATAAGTCTACCAATATGACACTTTTGCATAAAACCACACACACACACACACACACACACACATATACATGAATACATAAATGAGTGTGTATATATGTGTTGCCTCTGGATTGTGACTATGTCAAACTCCATATATCTATACCTCATCTGTACATCTATACCATGCCTTGAATGTTACAAAACCATCAAATTCAAAACTAAACTCAACTCATCATCTTCCTTCAAAAATCTGTTCCTACCTTATATTTGCATCTCTTTAGTGGTATTATCATCTATTACATCTCACATTTATTATGGACATGCTCCATGAGAACAAATATTTCTGATGTGTTCACTTCTGTATCCTTAATAGCTAGAAAAGGAACTGGTATCTAGATGATATTCAGTAAATTTGTTAAATAAATTAATACATCAAAAACTTACATGGCTTTCTAATTCAACTTCATAAATTTTAAAGGTCTCCCTTTATTTCTATTCCTATTAATATCAATGTATAAATTTTTAACTTGATTACTGGAATAATCTGTTAGATGATTACCCCTCCAATTTTCCAACCAGCAATCTACCTCTATGCTAATGCCAAATGAAGATTCTACGATGAAAATGAATCTTTCACTCCCCTGCTTAAAGATTGTGAATGATTCTCCATTGCCTTTCAGATATAATCCAAATATTGTATCAATTGTTTAATTCACCCATTTCCACATGCCTCTTAATTTTGTGTTTTAATGATAGAAACTTTTCTAACACTTGCATGGGAAGGTTTAGCACAATGTCCACCATGACCCCACCCTCCACCTATTACCTATTTGTGGTAATAGGTGTGTTCCCCTGTATTAATATGACAGTATTAATGGATTAATATGACTATACTAAAATGACATATTTATTACACTTTGACATCTTGGGGACTTGCTGATCCTGAGCTGACTGATTCCTAGAGCTAGCAAATGACTTGCCTCAGAGTATATGTTTTGGTTTAGATGTGAGGTGTCCCCAGAAGTTCACATGTGAGACAATGCAAGAAGGTTCAGAGGAGAAATGATTGGGGTATAGCCTAAACCTCATCAGTGAATTAATCCCTGATGGGATTAACTGAGTGGGAAAGGGAGGCAGATGGGTATGCTGGAAGAAGTGGGTCATTGTGGGTGTGGCTTGGGGGTATATATTTGTATTTGGATACCCTTCTGCTTCCTGATCACCACATGAGCTGCTTCCCTCTGCCACACGCTCCACCATGATGTCCTGCCTCACCTTGAGCCCTGAGGAATGAAGACGGCCTTATATGGACTAAGATTTCTGAAACTGTGAGCCTTTAAATAAACATTTCCTCCCTTACAATTGATATGGTTGGATCCTTTAGTCACAGCAATGAAAAACCTGACTCAAACAGTACACCTTTTGAATGCAAAATAGTCAGTCCAGAGCCAAATCACCTTCTCTAACAGAACCTCACACTCGGAGACACTGTTCTCCTGCCCAGGGCAAGGTAGACAACTATGGACAGCCACTATACTCCAGAGCCCACTGAAATTATTCAAATTAGCCAATCAACTTTTCATGGGATGCCTTGTCTGTTCTTGCAGAATCCACAATAAAGGGTTTTGTCCAGATGCCCCCCTTGATGGCAGTCTCCTGACAGATCTTGGTGGCTGTGGCCCTTGCATTACAAAGAGTGTTCCCTTCTCTTGGGAACTATGATTGATAAACTTTCTTTCAACAGCAATCTGATTTTCTGATCTGTTGGCCTCAACACAACTGCATAATAATAAATCCCACATTTTAAAACACCCACTTTCTTACAGTATCCCAAGTTAAAGTTGTATATTTTCGTATCTGTTCCCATTAACCAACCTGTGTTTTTATGACACCATATGCTTCCCTCAGTTATAAAATGGAATTCTCTATGCTAAAATTGTAGATTTACAATTTATGAAGTCACTGAAGAAATTATCAGTATAATTCTCTGTATGCCAACATCTGGTAACACAGATTTCATAGCTGACTCAATGCTTTTTTTATTAAAGAATTTGAAAATATGCCTAAGAACATAGAAAAGGGGATGTTTAGTCAGCATAGTATGGTTGAAAAACTAGTAATTTGATCAAGAAGCTTTTAAAGTAACCCTCAAAATTTTATAAGCCTGAAACAAAACAATTTCCAGAATGCACAATATTTCCTAGAAACTTGTCATGTTTATTAGAACTTATTTTCTCTTAAGTATCACAATAACTTGATTCTAAATGTTTCCTTTTCCTTTTACCAGCACTAATAAATCAAATATTGTCATATCCTTCTCCAAATACCCCCCCTGTCATGACTTCAGTGCTTCCTGACAAACCCTGCAGCCCTCAGCAAGGAATTAGCACTCATGTTGCTTCCAAGTGTGGTAACCAAAAGCTATCATTGAATTAAAAACAGGAAAGCCCATTTTTATTCCTATTTTCTGAACTCTTTAAAGATTAGAAGAAAGAAAACCATATTTACTTGACTGCAAACTAAGTTACACTCCCTGGTTTTGAAGTTTAACAGGTCCTCAAATTGTTTATGGTAATCAAGGATCAATAGTTAGATTATCCTCACTCTTGACTCAGTAAATATTTTATAGAGCGAAACCATTCCCTGCACTTAATACTGCTCTTAAAGACTTCCCTCAAATAGGACCTCAACCCACCTTGATCAAATATCACCATTAAAAAAAATAGTGTGTTTTAAAGGAGGCCCTAAAAATTGTGGAAAAACTGACTTTGCAATATTGTTATTTAAAGATTTTAAATAAAGCATTGCTGATAAAACTAGAGTGATGTTGACAATATGATTTTTCAGTCTGCACATTTTTACACTATTCTATCTGTGACAGGCAAGTAAGACTGGGAATATTTAAATTATCCTTTAGCTAAGGCTAATCATACCTTCACATCAAATATTTAAAAGCAAAGAAAAAGCAGAACACATACCAAAGCTTTATCCAGCACAATATGAATCTCTAGATAAAGAGAAGGTAAGTCCAGAAGAAGTAATTCTGACTAGACAAAAAAAAAAGAAAAACAACATATAAAATTATTTTATAATCTGTTTATTCAGAACTATTTATTAAACATTACCACAGCAATTATAAGACACAGCAGGGTATTTGCTTATCACAATAGGTGGACATTATATTTGGGATTTTACTTTTAAAAAGAAGAGGACAGTGTTCCTTTCATCTTAGTTTTCTACCTAGCAGTCTTCCAAGATTTTTCTAAATCTGAGGAATCAAGAGATTGTTAAAGGTAAACTGCCCTGGGCAGTAAATAACAAAATAATAATATTATTATTATAAAATTCATAATTCCAGAACAAAATCTTTATGTCTCTTTGTGTCTTTGGAATATACTTTTCCTGCTCTCAGCTGCCATTATGCTAAATGGAAGATGCTGGACAAAAGAGTCACATATTGTATGATTGAATTTATCCAAAATATGTAAATCCATAGAGACAGAAAGCAGATTAGTGGTTGCTAGAGGATGAGATGACATGTTCTGGGACGTAACTGTTTAATAGGTAAAGGTTTCCTTTTGGTGTGATGAACAATGTTCCAAAATTAAATAGCAACAACATAGTAAATGTACTAACTGTTACCGAATTATATACCTAAATAATTAAAATGGCGACTTTTTACATATATTTACCACAATAAAAAATGTAGCTGAATAAAGCTAAAACATGAAAGGGGAAGAATAAATATTCTTATTTCTTCCCACAATGGAAGGTAAGTTGTTTTATTTTGTTCCCTGCAATATATAGAAAAGTGAGTGACATATATAAAAGACTCAACATTTTTTTATTTTTTATTAGAGCTTTATACATAGTACTCAGGTTCATTCCAATAAACACACATTCATGGAAATCTATTTCAATCCATGACTTCCTCCCCTTTTCTCTCCCCATTTTCCATCCTGCCCTCCCTCTCCTATCTCATTCTCCTAACTACTAGATCGCCTTTCACTCATCTTTTAATAATTTGTATTTGATTCTTTATGTTATACTATCATTTCCTCCCCATTTCCTGTATTTCACTCTAGCTTCCCCATATGAGGGGAAACATTTGGCCTTTAAATTTCTGAGTTTGGCTCATTTCACTTAGCATGATTTTTCATTTCCATCTGGCAAATGCCATAATTGCATTCTTTCTTATGGCTAGAACTCCATTGTGTGTGTGTGTATCACAATTTTGTAATCCATTTATCTATTGATGGGCATCTGGATTGACTGCATAATTTATCTATTGTGATGTGGCTGTGATGTGCTATAAACCTTGATATGGCTGTGTAACAGTAGTATGCTGATTTTAGATCTTTTGAGAAAATACCAAGGAGTGAGAGCTGGGTCATATGGCGGTTCCATCACTAGTTTCTCGAAGAATCTTCATACTGCTTTCCAGAGTGGTTTTACTATTCTGCAATCTACTAACAATGTACAAGTGGAACTTTTCCCCTACAGCCTCATTAGCATTTACTGTTGTTCATATTCTTGACCATTGCCATTCTAATTGTAGTGAGATGAAATCTTAAGGGTAGTTTGTGATTTGCATTTCCCTGGTTACTACAGATGTTGAACATTTTTTCATATATTTTTGGCCATTGTGTTTCTTCTTCTGAGAAATTTCTGTTTAGTTCTTTTGATCAGTTATTGATTGGGTTATTGAGGAGGGGTGTTACATTTTTTGAGTTCTTTATATATTCTGGATATTAATTCCTTATAACAGGAGTAGCTGGCCAAAATTTTCTCCTATTCTGTAGGCTATCTCTTCATGCTCTTAATCATTTCCTTTCTTGTGCAGAAGCTTTTTAGTTTAATAGCATCCCCCTTATTGACTCTTGGTTTTATTGCTTGTGCTTTAGGGATCATGTTAAGTCAGTGCCAGCACCTATATGATGGAGTGTTGATGCTGTATTTCTTGCAGCCGTTGTAAAGTTTCTGATATAATTCTTAAGTCTTTGATCCATTTTGATTTGAGTATTGTGCAGGTGAGATAGGGGTCTAATTTCATTTTTCTACACATAGCTATCCAGTTTTCCCAGTACCTATTATATAAAAGGCTGTTTCTTCTCCAAGATATATTTTTGGCACCTTTGTCAAATATTAGACAACTTTAGGTATGTATCTTCTATTCCATTTGTCTTTGTGTCTAGTTTGTTGTCAATACCATGCTGTTTTTGTTACTACAGCTCTATAGTATAACTTCAGATCAGGCATTGTGATACCTCCTGCTTCACTTTCCTTGCTTACTCTTTCATTGATTATTCTGGGTCTCTTACTATTCCAAATGAATTTAAGAATTTTCTTTCCTAATTCTGTGAAGAATGTCATTGATATTTCAATGTGGATTGCATTGACTCTGTAATGGCTTTTGGTAGTATAGCCATTTTGACAATATTAATTCTGCCTATCAAAGAACATGTGATGTCTTTTCATTTTCTAAGATCTTCTTCAATTTTTCTTCAGTGTTGTATAATTTTCACTTTAGAGTTATTTTACCTCTTTTGTTAAGAGTAATTCCCAAGTATTAAATTTTTGTTTTGAGGTTATTGTGAATGGTATGATTTTACAGATTTCTTCCTCTGCTGAATCACTGTTAGAGTATAGGAAAGCTATTGATTTATGGGTGTTGACCTTGTATCCTTGTTAAACTCATTTATGAGCTCTAGAAGTCTTCCAGTAGAGTTTTTGGGTCTTCCAGATATAGGATCATATTGTCAGCCAACAGAGATATTTTGACTTCTTTTTCTATTTGTAGCCATTTGATTTCCTTTTCTTGCCTGATTGCTCTAGCTAATGTTTCAATGACTATATTGAATAGGACTGGTAAGAGTGACAGCCTTATCTTGTTCCTGAATTTGGAAGAGATTCTTTTAGTTTTTCTCCATTTAGTATTATGTTGGCTTTGGGTTTGTCATGAATGGCCTTTACAATGGTAAGGTAAGTTCTTTGATCCCTAGCTTCTCCAGCATTTTTAACATGAATGGATATTGGATTTAATCACAGGCCTTCTCTTCTTCTCAATTGCATTGATTTTGATGCTGATCTTAATTATTTCCTGTCTTCTTTTCTAAGCCTTTGAGGTGGAGCATAAGCTTATTTATTTGAGATATCTCTAATTTTTAATGTAGGCACTCAGTGCTAGAAATTATCCACTAGAACTGCTTTCAAATGTCCCAGAGATTTTGATATGCTATATCTCTATTATTGTTCATTCTAAAAATTTCTTGCTTTCTATTCTTATCTCTTTTTTAGTCCATTCTTCATTTAAGAGACTATTGTTCAATCTCCACATGTTTATGTGATTTATTTTCTTTTTTCTGTTGATTTCTAGCTTCATTCCATTGTGATCTTATAGAACACATGGGATTTCACTGAATTTCTGGTATTTGCTAAGATTTTCTTTGTGGCCTAGATTATGATCTACTCTGGAAAAAGTTCCATGCACAGCCAGGAAGAAGGTAAATTTAGCTGATTGTGGGTGGAATATTCCATAGATATCTATTAGGTCCATTTGATTTATATAGTGTTATTTATTTATTTTTATTTGTTTTACTTAGTTACACATGAAAGTATAATGACCTTGACATATCATACATTTGAATCAGATGGGATATAATATCTCATTTTTCTGAGTGTACAGGTTGCAGAATCACATTGGTCATGCATTCACATATATACACACAATAATAATAATGTCTGTTTCATTCTACTATCCTTCCTATCTCCCCAATCCCTCCCTTCCCCTTCCATCACTTCTCTCTACCTAATCTAGGGTAGCACTATTCTTTTTTTTCTTTTTTTCTCACATCTTCATTCATGTATTTTGTATAACAACGAGGGTCTCCTTCCACCATCCATGCAATTCCATTTCTCCTTCCCTTTCCCTCCCACCTCTCTTCCTATGTAGAGGTAATCTTCTTCCCATGCTCTTCCTCTCTTTCCCATTATGAGTCACCCACCCCCCCCCCTTATAACAGGGAAGACATTCGGCATTTGTTTTTTAGAGATTGGCTAACTTAGCATAATCTGCTCTAATGCCATCCATTTCCCTGCAAATGCCATGATCTTATTATTTTTTAGTGCTAAGTAATATTCCATTGTGTATATAGGCAACAAAATGAAATTGAATCCCTATCTCTCACCATGCACAAAAGTTAACTCAGAATGGATCAAGGATCTAGGAATTAAACCAGAGACTCTGCATCTAATAGAAGAAAAAGTAGGCCCTAATCTCCATCATGTGGGGCTAGGCCCCAATTTCCTTAATAAGACACCTATAGCACAAGAATTAAAACCAAGAATCAACAAATGGGATGAATTCAAACTAAAAAGTTTTTTCTCAGCAAGAGAAATAATATGTGAGGTGAATAGGAAGCCTACATCCTGGGAACAAATTTTTACCCCTCACACATCAGATAGAGCTCTAATCTCTAGAGTACACAAAGAACTCAAAAAGCTAAACACCAAAAAAACAAATAACCCAATCAACAAATGGGCCAAGGACCTGATCAGACACTTCTCAGAAGATATACAATCAATCAACAAATATATGAAAAAATGCTCATCATTTCTAGCAATCAGAGAAATGCAAATTAAAACTAGTCTAAGATACCATCTCACTCCAGTCAGAATGGCAGCCATGATGAAGACAAACAACAAGTGCTGGCGAGGATGCAGGGAAAAAGGTACACTCATACATTGCTGGTGGGACTGCAAATTGGTGCAGCCAATTTGGAAAGCAGTATGAGATTCCTTGGAAAGCTGGGAATGGAACCACCATTTGACCCAGCTATTCCTCTTCTTGGACTATACCCAAAGACTTAAAAACAGCATACTACAGGGACACAGCCACATCAATGTTTATAGCAGCACAATTCACAATAGCTAGACTGTGGAGCCAACCTAGATGTCCTTCCACGAATGAATGGATTAAAAAAATGCGGCACATGATTTATATAGTGTTATTTAGATTAGACATATCTTTATTGATTTTATGTTTTGATGGGCTGTCTATTGGTGATAAGAGTGTATTGAAATTACCCAGTATTATTGTATTGAGGTCTATGCAGGATTTAATGTCATGGAGTCCTTTTTCCATGTAATTGGGCACATTGACATTTGGGGCATAAATATTTACTATCATTATATCTTCTTAGTGGATCATTCCCTTAACAAGATGTAGTGACCTTCTTTGTCGTTCTGATTAATATTTGCTTAAAATCTACTTTGTCAGATATGAGAATAGCTATTCCTGCTTATTTTCTTGGACCATATTTCTGGAATATTTTTGCCATCCTTTTACCTTCAGACTGTGGATGTCTTTGCCTATAAGATGAGTCTTTTGTAAACAGTATATAATTGATTCTTGGTTTTTGATCCATTTGACTAATCTGTACTTTTTAACTGGGGAGTTGAGATCATTAACATTTAGTGTGAGTAAGGATAACTATTTATGGTTTTCTGACATTTTGCTATATTTTACCCTGTCTTGATTCTTACTTAATAGATTATTCTTCTATTGAACTTCCTCTGTGAGTTCTGGGAATTATTTTTTAGTTCCTCTTGTGTGGTTTATCTTTGAGTATTCTTTGTAATGCTGGCTTGATTCTCATGAATTCATTTATTCTTTTCATGGAAAGTTTTTATTTTCCCCTCAAATTTGAAACTAGGTTTTGTTGGATATAGAAATCTGGCTGGCAGTTTTTTTTTTTTTTTTTTTTTTTTTTTTTTAGGGCTTGGAATATCTCATTGCAGATCCTCCTTAATTTTAGGGTCCAAGCTGAGAAATCCAAAATGAACCTTATTGGTTTGCCTCAGGTTTTTGATCTGATGTTTCTGTCTTGCAGCTTTTAATATTCTTTCCTATTTTCTATATTAGGCATTTTGATTATGATATGTCCCAGTGAGCTTCTTATTTGACTAGGTCTATTTGGGGTCCTGTAATCCTCCTATATGTGGATATCTGTCTCATTTTGATGTGGAAAATTTTTCTGTAACTCTTTCATTGAAAATGTTCTTTATGCCTTTAGTTTGTATCTCCATGTTCTCTTCTATCCCAAAGATCAGAGCCATCATGTCAGTTCTGATGTTTTCTTTCTTCTTTGTTTATTATATCCAAATTTCTGAGTCCCTAAGCTGCTTTTGATGTCCAATATTAAATATTAGTGAAATCCTTCCTTAGCCACCTTGGTGAGAAGCTGTACACCTGCTGTTTTGGTCCCGTGCAACAGCACAGCTTGGAATGCTGCTTTACTTTACTCTGCCATCTACCATCTCCCTCCCAAAATATATTTTAATTGGATAAGTAAATCTTACAAAGTGCAAAACTGAAATTGCAAAAACTTAATGGATCAAGAAATTTAGTCTCAATTATATTTTTTGAAGTGGGGTCATACTTTTTTAGCCAAATTGGTCACAAACTTGTGAGGTCAAGTGATTTCCTCCCCTGCCCCAGCCCCCCAAATATCCAGGGCTACAGGTGCACCCCACCATTCTGGCTATTACATTAAATTACAAATTTAACCAATAAAACTAAAAATAATTTAACATTTTAAATTAATTGGAAGAGGAAAGAAAGAGTACAGTTTAAGTAAATTATAATTATCTTTCATTTCAGAGAAAAAAGAGACAAACTGAACTTGGTTAATAAAAAAAACTAAAAGAAGAAACAGAAGCCAGTGTATTATTTAAATATTGGAATTGAGGTTTACACATGAAAGAAAGGAGAGAAAAAAATTTTACTTTTTAATTTTTGAAGTAAGTAAAATATAATGCACAATTTAATAATTTATAAAATAAAAATTCTGCAACAACCACTTAGGTTAAGAAATGAAACATTTCCATCCTTCCTCCCAGAATCCAATTAGGCCTTTTCACCTGATCACAACTTCTAGAGGTAAGCAGAATTCTGATATTGATGACAAATCCATTACAAATCACAAGATTTCATTCCAAATCCATATCCTTTCCTTTTTTCTATATTTTAATCTTTGGATAAATGAACCATACAGCTCACATTCTTTTATATCTCACTTCTGTTACTCATCATCATGTTTTAAACATTCATTCATGTTGATCTGTGTTGCTATAACTCATTTGGTGTTTTTTTAACTTGATGATGGTCTACTACATGAGTATACTACAATTCATTTACCAATTTTACTATTGCACATTGGGATTTCCCCCACCGTGTTTGGTACTACAAAGCTATGACAAACTTATTAATGTATCTTAATGGATTTAGAGCACATTTCTATATGCTGAAATTTCAGGGTCATAAAGAATGCATTTCTCATGCTTTGCTAAAGAATAACAAGCTATTCATATAATTTTTATCAATATGAACAACCACAAGTACCAAAAGATAATTTATCTTGCTTCACTCCTCTGTACATCTTTTACCAGTATGATGAACACAAGGATGGATACCATGTTGGTTTATTTTGCACAATTCTGGATATTAAAGAAATTAAGCATCCTTTATTTTTAGTTTAGACTTACTATTTTATAATTAAAAGACACAGCAAAAGCAGTTCTAAGAGGGAAGTTTATGGCACTAAATATCTACCTGAAAAAGAAAGAAAGAAATCAATCTCAAACATACATCCTAATTCCTCAAAGAATGAGAAACAGGAAAACAAACTAAATTCAAAGTTAGTAGAAGGAAGAAGATAATAAAGATCAGAGCAGAAAAATGAAATAGGAACTAGAAAGATAATATAAAATATCAGCAAAACAAAGTTGCTTTTTTGAAAGGCTAAACAAAATTGACAAACTGTTAGCTACAATAATGAAGGAGAAAGGGAAAGTATTCTAACCAAATTAGAAAGGAATGAGGAGAAACATATAACTGATAACGCAGAAATATAAAAGTTAATAAGAGACCTACATATGAACATCAACAATTTGTGCAACCTATCTAAAATATGGATAAAATCCTAGAAACATATAACCTAAAAAGACTAAATCACAGGGCTGGGGATGTGGCTCAAGCGGTAGCGCGCTCTCTTGGCATGCGTGCGGCCTGGGTTCGATCCTAAGCACCACATACAAAGATGTTGTGTCCGCCAATAACTAAAATATATATATATATATATATATATATATATATATATATATATTAAAAATTCTCTTCTCTTTCTCTCTCTCTTTAAAAAAAAAAGACTGAATCACAAAGAAACCAAAATTCTTAAGAAACAATGACAAAGGAAATTGAATCAGTATAAAAATCTCTTATCAAAGAAAATCCCAGGACTGAATAGCTTCACTGCTGAATTCTACCAAACATTTAAAGAATAACCAATATTATGTGTAGTTTGGGAAGACTCAGAACATGGCAGCGTGGATCTAGGCAGCAATCCTCAATTCCTCCACAATCTAGAAATAAAGCAGTGAAAGAACAGCTCACCAGTGATGCAGGTGACAGAATAAACACTCTAGAATTCAATATTAAAAAGAAAGAGACTTGCAATGACTTAGAAATTGGTTACCAGAGAAGAAAATAAGCAAAGAAGTCCTTGACTATAAACACTGACCAGAGCAGGGTTGGAGGGAAGGGTAAAAATGAGAGAAAGAAGGAGAAGGAAAGCCCACAAGCATATTTCCTTAACATGTGGAAAGAAAAACAAACCAAATGAAAATGGGACAGGAACAGAAAAGACAGTGAATGAGATCATACAATTCAGACCAAAGTGTAAGAAGAAAAAAATTCTTGGCAGTACAACCATTTTATAGAGTCTGCAGTTAGCCAGCCTCCCTAGATGGAATTAAATCAGTACAGCTTCTCCCCATCTAAAGATAGTAACCAAAAAAACTACACAGAATGCCTTTGCAATGGGTTGTCTCATTAATTCACCGAAAAGGAACTTATAGAGGGATCACTA